ACAAAGGTAGAAGACAGTGCAGTAAACAGGAAGGCAATACACACAATAAACAAATTGTACAGGGACAACCCAAAAATGAATATTATTGACCCTGACCACACACATCTTGGGCCACTGGACCTCCTCAGTGGTCAAACAAATGATACCACAGAATGGTTCCTGACATCACAATGCAACAATAATTTCTCATAAACTGACCAAGATTTCAATGATTATTGTCTGTGACCAAAGGCAAAGGTATTAATCAGAGGCCTCATTCTTGAGAGTTTTGCTGCCATGGTCAGGCACACTGTCCTATAGCAATGGTTCAAATGTGTACCTTTCTTGCTTGGTCAGAAAAATTCAATACAGCCAGGAGCCAATAGTGCTGTAACAGATGTGAGGGATGATCAAGCCTTTTTGGCAGGACTAACCTCACCTCTCTGCTTCTTGAAAACAGATCAGCCAGTATCATAAGGCCCCTGTATAAATTGACGGTGCGACCTCATTTGGAGTGCGGTGTACAGTTCTGGTCATCACACCTCAGAAAGAATATTATAGCATTGGAAAAAGTGCAGAAAAGGGCAACTAGAATGATAAAAGGGTTGGAACACTTTCCCTATGAAGAAAGGTTAAAGCGCTTGGGGCTCTTTAGCTTGGAAAAACGACGGCTGAGGGGTGACATGCTCAAGGTTTATAAGATTATGCATGGGATAGAACAGGTTGAGAAAGAAGTACTTTTCTCCCTTTCTCCCAATACAAGAACTCGTGGGCACTTAATGAAATTGCTGAGCAGTCAGGTTAGAACAGATAAAAGGAAGTACTTCTTCACCCAAAGAGTGATTAACTCATGGAATTCACTGCCACAGGAGGTGGCGGCGGCTACAAGCATGGACGGCTTCAAGAGGGAACTGGATAAACATATGGAGCAGAAATCCATCAGTGGCTATTACCGACAAGTGGTTAAGACGCTGAACTGCAGGCTGTGGAAGGTCGGTAGTTCAGCAGTTTGAGACCCGAGTTGCCGCATGATGGAGTGAGCTCCCGTCTCTAGTTCCAACTCCTGCCAACCTAGCAGTTCGAAAGCAAGACATTGCAAGTAGATAAATAGGTACCACTTTGGTGGGAAGGTAACAGCGTTCCGTGCGCCTTGGTGTTTAGTCATGTCGGCCACATGACCACGGAAACATCTTCGGACAGCGCTGGCTCTTCGGCTTTGAAACGGAGATGAGCACCGCAACCCTAGAGTCGGATCCGACTGGCTTTCGAGCAAGGGAACCTTTACCTATAGATAGGAACTCTCAGGCTGGGGCTGGTGATGCACTGTATTCTTGGTGCCTGGGGGGGGGGCAACAGTGGGAGGGCTTCTACTGTCTTGGCCCCACTGCTGGACCTCCTGATGACACCTGGTATTTTTGGCCAATGTGTGACAGAGTGTTGGACTGGATGGGCCATTGGCCTGATCCAACACTGGCTTCTCTTATGTTCTTATCTTCTTCTTCTGATCACCCGTGTTATGATTGGTGACCCTGAAGCCACGGCAATGGCTTATTTTCATGCAAGAAGCTGCAATTAAATGAGCCAGGAAAGAGTCAAACAACAGGAATTGGGTTCCACTGGAGGTAGCCCCTTTGGATTAAATACCAAACGGAGGAGATGGATGCCGGTCATTAAACCCTGAGATGAGGGCTACGTGCCAAATGACCTGATTGGCAGAGCTTGGGGATATCTCCCACGAGGGCCATGATTCCTAACTCTGGATTTGGGGGGGGGGGGGTCACCTAAGCAGGCAGAAGGTTTAAAAGGTGGAATCTTCCTTTGTTCAAAGACTTTGCCCAGATGCTGTGACCCGCTGGGGCCCAATCGCTTCTGCAAAGGGGGAATACAGAATCTGGGGGTGTGTTTGCTCCATCTAAGGTACCTGTCTTCTACTGTAACTTAGCTTATCTGCAGAAGTGAGTAGTAAACTCATGAAAGCTCCTACCGTGCCACAAATTTTGCCCGTCTTTAAAGGTACTACTGGACTCTGGCTCTTTTCTGCTGCTACAGACAGACTAACACGGCTGCCCGTCTTGTGCTATTTTCCATGAATGTGCTCTAGTTTAATCTTTAGTAATAAGCTTCTCCCAGAGAGAAGGCAGACTGTGACTCAGATCCTACTCATACACTGAAAAGTGCTCTTACACATTAAGAAAAGTGCTCTTACACATGCTCTTACACATGCACAAAAGTGCTCTTACACATGCACGGCGGAAATTAAAGTAATCAGAAGAGAGCCAGTTTGGGGTAGGGGTTAGGGGCGTGGACTCTAATCCGGAAGAACCGGGTTTGACTTCCCCACTCCTCCACATGCAGCTGCTGGTGTGACCTTGGGTCAGTCACAAGTCCTCTCAGAGCTGTTCTCTCAAGAGCAGTTCTCGAGAGAGCTCTCTCAGCCCCACCTTCCTCACAGGGTGTCTGTTGTGGGAAGGGGAAGGAGATTGTAAGCTGCTCTGAGATTCCCTCGGGTAGTGAAGGGTGGGGTATAAACCCAATCTCTTCTTCTGCCCTTTGTACTTGCTCAGAGGCAACCTTACCATGGTTCCCCAAGGCGCGGGTTATGTGATAGGCTGGGTTTTATTTCTTGGGGTGGTGGCACTGCAGAGGAACATGCTTTTAAAAAGGTAAAGGTTCCCTTGCTCGAAAGCCAGTCGAATCCGACTCTAGGGTTGCGGTGCTCATCTCTGTTTCAAAGCCGAAGAGCCAGCGCTGTCCGAAGACGTTTCCATGGTCATGTGGCCGGCATGACTAAACACCAAGGCGCACGGAACGCTGTTCCCTTCCCAACGAAGTGGTACCTATTTATCTACTTGCAATTTCTTGCTTTCGAACTGCTAGGTAGGCAGGAGCTGGAACTAGAGACGGGAGCTCACTCCATCATGCGGCACACTCGGGTCTCGAACTGCTGAACTACTGACCTTCCGCAGCCTGCAGTTCAGCGTCTTAACCACTTGAGCCACCGCAGCTCCATAACATGCTTTTACATGTAGGCAAACACACAAAACGCATGTGAGAACACACAGACCCAGGGCAAGTTTGTTACAACCCACACTCTTCTGGGGCACCTCTAATGACACCCAGAAGTGAGCGCGGAAGAGACGCTGCACAAAATTAGGAACTGGGAACTCGTCCTCTCCTTTCCTGCAGGGCTCACTCTCTCCCATCCTAAACTTCCCAAAAGTCAAAGGCCTTTGAAAAGGACATCTGCCCTATAAGTGTGATCTTCCAGAAGAAAAAAAACACCAAAACGTGGGCGCGCACGCACACACACAGACCAAATACTCCCCCATACTTATTTCATCTTCTTTCCTTCTTTTAAAGAAAAGGAAGGTTTGCAGAGATAACACATTACAAATGTTCTCTCACAGAGAGACGGATGTGTTGATATCTCCGCAGCACCACTATAAGCTGAAGATAACTTTGAAGCCGGGCGAGAATGTCCAAGCAGGTCTGTTTTATCAGGCACTCTTGTACCTCCGGAAGATAGAACCAAGTTTTAACAGATGTTTCAGCTCTCCTTGAAGTTTTTGTTGGGGAGGGTTTAAAATAAGGAAACTGCATGCAACGGATCACTGAAGCGGAGTCTGGAAAGATTTCCATGTTCCTAAAGCTAATCGCTAGAGTTCACAGGCAGCCAAGTCCTTTGTTCTTTTCAAGTGCTTGTGGGAGAGGATGGACTCTTACCCCAGAGTATAGTATGCTGTAGGGGTGTGCGCTTGGTATATACCGAACCAAATAAATACCCGAAAAATGCCTTATTACTATTTTTAGGTATTTATTCAGCCTAATACAGATTAGACAATCTGATGCAGCTACCAAAATAGCCACGCCCAAATAAAAGCCAATATTATTCAGCTTTTATTCGGGCACGGCTAAAATTCACTCGTTCGGTCATGCTGCCGGAGTGGCGCAACTCGGTGAGTGAACTGAAGGCATTTATAATTCTCCTTTATACCTTATGGGGACGGTCCCCATAGAGTACAATGGAGCTGAATAAATTTGGGTTTCATTAATATTTACTCGAATACCAATACAATGCTGATATTGGTATTTGTGAATACTGATATTTTTCTCAACCAACAGACCCGATTTTGGGGGGTGGGGGACAATTTTTGGGGGGTACACCGTAGTATGCTGTATGGCCTTTCGTCTTTTGAACGCTTCATGCTAAGTATGTCCTTATCTTCCCTTGCTGGCCTGAGAAACATTCCCATCCCCAACATGACAGGATTTGAGGCCAATTAAGAGGTAAAATAAATGCTCTGGGGCCTAGTAAGGGCACCACACATGCTGTTAGGTCTTCCCTATCAGTCTTATTTTTTGTCCTGTTCTTTCTTTAAGATGCTTGAAGCAGCTTACAAGGTACTCTCTACCCCCATTTTAGCCTCACACCTAGCCCATGAAGCTGGGAAAGTGAATGGCCCAAGGTCATCCAGTAAGCTCTATGGCAGAGCAGCTATTTGTACCTGACTCCTCTCACCCCTAGCTTGATACTACACTACATCTTCTATCATATTTCCATTCTCTCTTCTCACCTAAACAATTTCGAACATCCCTCTGAAGTCTTTTGTTTTTAATCTTATATTTTTTGTATTTTTTAAAATGTGTGTGTGTGTATACACGTGTGCACCTGGAAGTCATGGCGGCCTCTGGTGACTGACCCCTACTGGGGCCCTGGAGAATATTCAGAGAGGTGGCTGAATAAAGCCTGCCCCCACCTCCCACCTCTGGTATTCCAAGGAGGCCTCCCATCCAAGAACTTGCCAGAGTCGACCCTGCTTAGCTTCTGAGATCTGACGGGATGGGGCTTGCCTGGGCTATCCAGGTCAGGGCCTGTTATTTTTAATCTTGAAGAGAAAAACCCAAACCCAGGAACCAAACTTAAACAAAGTCACAAGAGGAGGATTCCACCTCTGATATATTCTGTCTCCTTTGCAGACCAGACCTTTTCGATAAGCAGCGATTCCGAAAACACGCCTTACCTTGGTTTCGTACAGGACTGACGTAATTCACACCATTCACATTTCTCCAGTCCCAAGAGGTGGGCAGGGAGGAGGCTGCCTTGGTCACTTCAGAGGTCAACGGGGCAGTCTTCGGCCTACTGGGAAAAGGACAAGCATTTTGCATGGTGAGGTCACCATTCCAACATTGGGGGGGGGGAGAAATTACGGAATGCACTGCCTTCAGAGCACTTTCAGGCTTGCCTTCTCCAGCCCACCAGTTAAGATCTGCCTCCAAAGGCCTGCTCTGTGCCCCCGCCTCCAGAGGCCAAGCTGGTGGCAGCTCCAGAGAAGCTGTGGGCTTTTTCTTGGGGAGGGAATAAATGGGGATTCACTGCATTCCGCGTGTTTAATTTTTGGAACTAGAAGCCCCTTTGAACAACAAGGGAAAGGTGTAGCAATAAATATTTTAATAAATCATCTCCTGCAAACGTAATTCAAGTTTCTGGCTTTTGCGTGCTATTTGACAACAGGCTTCCTCGGGAGGTGGTGGGCTCTCCGTCTTTGGAGGTTTTCAGACACAGGCTAGAGGGCCATCTGACAGCAATGCGGATTCTGTGAACTTAGGCGGATCACCTTATGTTTTTTGTATTTTTTAAAATGTGTGTGTGTGTGTGTGTGAAAGCTAATGCAATCTTAGGAATGCATTAACAGAAGCATTGTGTCCAGATCAAGGGAGGTGGTAGTTCTGCTCTATTCTGCTATGGTCAGGCCTCACCTGGAGTACCGTGTCCAGTTTTGGGTACCACATTTTAGGAAGGATGTTGACAAGCTCGAGCGTGTCCAGAAGAGGGCAACCAGGATGGTGAGAGGGTTGGAATCCAAGTCTTATGAGGAAAAGCTGAAAGAGTTTGGTATGTTTAGCCTGGGAAAGAGAAGGCTTAGAGGGGACATGATTGCAGTCTTCAAATATTTGAAGGGCTGTCATGTAGAAGATGGAGCAGATCTATTCTCTCTTGCTCCGGATTGCAAGACTAGATCTAATGGGTGGAAATTACAAGGGAGTCGTTACCGGCTAAATATCAGGAGAAACTTCCTAACTGTAAGAGTGGTTGAGCCGTGGAACAGTCTGCCTCGGGAGGTGGTGGATGCTCCTTCGCTGGACATTTTCAAGCGGAGGCTGGATGACCATCTTTCAGGTATGTTGTAGGTATGTAGGGCTCTCTTTCAGCTATGCTCCTGCAGAGTGCAGGCAGTTGGACTAGATGACCTGCAAGGTCCATTCCAACTCTAACATTCTATGATTGTATGAGAGGGAGGGCAGGAAGGGTTGCCTCAGTGCTTAGTTCTTGTTGCCTTTCTTACACGCCCAGGGAAATGCTGATCACCATTTTGGGGTCAGGAAGCAATTTTCCCCCAGGCCAGTTTGGTTGGAGATCCCGGAGGTTTTTTGCTCAACTTCTGGCATTGGAACAGCAATCACTGGGGGTGTGTGGGGGAGAGGTATTTGTGAATTCCCTGCATTGTGCAGGGGGTTGGACTAGATGACCCTGGAGGTCCCTTCCATGATTCTGTGATTCTGTACCATAATGTAACTTGTGGGGAGGGCCACACCGCTGTTTGGCCTAGCTGCAGGAAAGCAAAATGAGCAATGCTGACCAGCTACACACTAATTTATTCCTTACTGAATTCGAGCATGTTTGAGAAGGCAGATGGGCAAAACTCACTCAGAGGCTTGATGAGAGCAGCAGGCCAGACAGACTGGCATAGGAGGGTTGCCAAATTCCAGGTACGGTCTGGAGCTCTTTTGGAATTACAACTGATCTTCAGACTAGACAGATCAGCTCCCCCTGAGAAAATGTCTGCTTTGGAGGGTGGGCTCTATGGCATCACATACCTACTGAATTCCCTCTCCCCCAAAAAACTTCACCCTCCCAGAAGCCCTACCCCCCAAATCTCCTGATAGCCCTACAGCTACAGTCGCCAACCTCCAGGTGGGGCCTAGAGAACTCCTGAAATCACAACTGATCAACAGACAACAGAGATCAGTTCCCCTGGAGAAAATGGTTCCTTTGGAGGGTGGACTCTGTGGCATTATAACCTGTTGAGGTCCCTCCCCTCCCCAGGCTCCACCCCCAAAACCTGCCATGTAGTTCCTAACCCAGAGGTAGCATTGACAATGTTCCCTCTAAGCTGCGGAGTCTTGTGAGCAAAACCTCTACTTTGTGAGCTACTGGCACTAAAGCGGTGAGCAAACAACTTGGCTACTGCATAAATTAGTTTGCGCTGGAGCCCTCCTTCCTGAGCTGAGACAAAAATCTGTGAGCCGGAGGCTAAAAAACTGTGAGCTAGCTCACACTCACTCAGCTTAGAGGGAACACTGATTACAATATAGGTTTTGGACTTGGAATCATAGAATCACAGAGCTGGGAGGGGCCATCCAGGACATCTAGTCCAACCCCCCTGCTCAATGCAGGATCAGCCTAGAGCTTCCCTGACAAGTGTCTGTCCAGCCACTGCTTAAGGACTGCCAGTGAAGGGGAGCTCACCCCCTCCCCAGGCAACCAGTTCCACTGCTGCACAACTCTGACTGTGAAAAAGGTATTTCCTAATATCCAGCCGGTACCTTCCTACCCTTAATTTAAACCCATTCTAGCGAGTCCTCTCCTCTGCTGCCCACAGGAACAGCTCCCTGCCCTCCTCTTCTAAGTGACAGCCCTTCAGAGACTTCCAGAGAGCAATCGTGTGTCCCCCCTCAACCTCCTCTTCTCCAGACTGAACACTCCCTAGTCCCTCAGCCTTTACACACAGGGCTTCTTGGTCTCCAGGCCCCCGATCATCCTCATCGCTCTCCTCTGCACCCGCTCCATTCCGTCCACATCCCTTTTGAAGTGAGGCCTCCAGAACTACACACAATACTCCAGGTGCGGCCTGACTAACACAGTGTACAGCAGGACTATGACATCTTGCGATTAGGATGTTATGCCTCTGTTGATACACCCCAAGATCGCAGTAGCCTTTTTTGCCGCCACATCACACTGTCTGCTCATATTTAACTTTTGGTCCACCCGTGCCCCGAGATCCTGTTCACGCACACTGCTACCCAGAAGTTATTGGCTGTACACCGTCTACCTTACCTTCAACTGAACAATCCCCGGAACGCTGCTTTCAGGGCCAAAAAGACCTATAACCTGCACAACAGTGCCCTTACAAGTCCACACGCCCATCCTCCAATGGGCTTGCCCAAAGCACAGAAGAGACTTGCTGTAGCTCTGGACTACAAAAATCACAGCAAACACCTACATAAGAGGAATCCTGCAGCTTGTGCATGACAGTCCCCTGCAAAGATTCCATTTCGGAGGCTAAAGAGAGAGCTGTCGGGCAGAACGGGGCGAAGAGTCCACGGCAATCACAATGCCAGTCACACAGGCTTGTTTCTAGGCATTACACTCGAGTGCTTAACAGCGTGGAACTTCTGGACCTCTCTTTGCTAGAAAATTGCCTTCCGCGATGGACGCAATCCAACCGCAGACACCAAAGAACCAAAATGATACTTAATGCGGCCGTCGTCAGGGGCTAAGAACCACTTCCGAGCAGCCGTTTCAGGAGAACGCTGGCAATAGTTAATGAGCTGCAGCTGAAGGAGGTTTGTCTTTGTCTGCTTACTGCTAAGCCATCCCTCTCCCCCCCCCACTAAGCCATCGACTAAAGTGCACCATTTAGCAGCAGAATGCATTTTGGGACAGACAAGCCTCGCCCCGCATTGTTGTTTCCCAAGTCACCACTGTTCAGCAACTAAAACATTCGACGTCTACAGCATGAGGCCCGATCTCACAAAGCGCATGCAGACATGATTCAGGGTTCTTTTTGTAGCAGGAACTCATTTGCATATTAGGCGACACACCCCTAATGTAGCCAATCCTCCAAGAGCTTACAGTAGCCCCTGTAAGAATTGCTCTGTAAGCTCTTGGAGGATTGGCTACATTAGGGGTGTGTCGCCTAATATGCAAACGAGTTCCTGCTACAAAAAGAGCCCATTCCCCCCACAAGGTGCTCAGGGCAGTTAACAACAATTTATAAGTACATTCCAATGAATAACTATATATTCAAGTTAAAAGTTTAAAATGATAAAACAAGAAGAGGAGGAGATTGGATTTGTACCCTGCCCTTCACTCCCTGAAGGCGTCTCGGAGTGGCTTACAATCTCCTTTCCCTTCCCCTCCCCACAACAGACACCCTGTGAGGTAGGTGGGGCTGAGAGAGCTCTTGAGGGAACTGCTCCTGAGAGACCAGCTGTGCAAGAACTTGTGACTGGCCCAAGGTCACACCAGCACCTGCATGTGGAGGAGTGGGGACTCGAACCCGGTTCTCCCAGATCAGAATCCACGCTTGTAACCAATAAACCAAAGTGGCTCTCCAGTTCAAACTGGATGTTCAAATCAGATGGCGTTTGAGCGCTATGAATCCTTTCCAAAAGGGGGGAGATGAAGAGGCCAGGCTCAATGGTGAACCGTTGCTGTCCTTGGCCATAGGCCTGGTAGAACATCTGTCTTACATGCCCTGCAGAATTGCTTTAGGTCCCGCAGGGCATGGATGTCATTAGGCAGAGAGTTCCACCAGTGGACCTGTGTGACACAGAGTGTTGGACTGGATGGGCCACTGGCCTGATCCAACATGGCTTCTCTTATGCTCTGATACTAGCAGAAGTTTCAAATGGTCTGCATTAGAAGAACAAGGTTCAAGACCAGTAGCACCTTAAAGACGAACAAGATTTCCGGGGTACATGCTTCTTGTGAGCTGAACTTCTCTGACAAAGCAAGCTTTGACTTCTGAGAGCTTATACCCTGGAAATCTTGTTGGCTTTTAAGGTAATACTGGCAGATGAGCCAAGAGGGGCTGTTTTATTCCGCCTTTCACTGCTGTCACTAGCCCGGAGTAACTTAGCCCATATGGATGCTTTCGCATCAGCTTCTGGGGGTTAAAAAAGGGAACACACAAAAATCTGCTTCCAGGACTTCCTTGGGAATGTGTCCTACAGAGCACAAAGCATGCCACTCAACGTCCAATACTAGGGCTGGATACTCCGCTCCCAGAGAGCACAACATGAGCATCAATGCCCCCCAAAGCAGGACTACAGTCCCCACTGGTTAGAAGGTAAGGG